ACAGCATCTGCAGTTCTTTTGGTTTTTCTTCAAACATTTTTCATGGATTCGGAAATCCTAGGACCTCTGAGATTGTAAGGAGTGCTGTGGTACATGCAAATTAATTTTTCGGTTGACTGAGGCTCCTCACCCGAGGCAAAAGTTCAGAAAATGCACCCTTCCAGAGTAGATCAAAATGCAGAAGTGTGGAGCCCCCTTTATTTTGTATAAAGGCTCTGGCCTAGATATCAAGAGCACACTAGAATTTAGATACTGTTCCACCGAATGTGGTTCAGTTTTAATAAACTACTCAGCAATAGTGCATACTCAATGTCACTGGTTAGTTAGAAATCCCGCAATCCAAGGTCTGTCTCAGGTGGTCAGTCTGTTAACAGATCTCCTGGTGTGTGCTTGGAGTAGCTGACCAAACTGTCCACTTGGAGGAAGCCTGGAGGTGTCCTTCAAGTCTTTCTTTATACTTTTCCTTGCTATAACTGTGTGCCATTTAAGTTACAATCTGTTTTTAGTCCATTGAGTTGGTTTTTGATTATATTAGTATCTTATTCAAATTCATCATCAGATATGTTTTCTCTGGCCTTGTTTTCCAGTTTGTACAGACAGCAGTGCAGGGTATTATCTTGAGTACATCATCACTCTCCAATGATGGATTGAAGAAGGCATATTTTGTCGACACAGAAATTATGAGCTGCATTCCTGTCACAACTCCAACACCAAATAGATATTACTTTGCAGACTTGTAGCAAAACATTTGTACCTTTTACTATCTTTCCTTCTTGCTGACATGCCTACAATGCACTGCTTTGTTCAGGGTCCCATTTCTTCTTTGACTTATCTTCCATCATCATGAGACAAATCTAGACAGAGTATTATAAAGCAGAGCACAGCACATAATGAAGCAAGAAGCAGATAAGAAATTTAAAGTTCATATGTTTGCCAGTGGGAGTAAAGTATTGGTGCTGTTACCTGTGGTTGGAGATCCCTTCAAAGCAAGATTTAATGGACCCTATCAGATTGAGAAGAAGTTAAGTAAATTATCTGGTGAAGATGCCAGATAGGAAAAAAAAAACTCAGGTATGTCATATTAACATGCTGAAACATTACTATGATGGGGAAAGGGGACCGGAGAAACAGGTATTAGTTACTGCCAGTCACTGAGGAATCAAATCTAAATGATTTGGACTTTGATGTGCCTCAGAATAAATTGAATGATGAGGAAGTCCTTAAGGAATGGGATAGGGTAGTGAGCTTTCTGTCCCAGGAACAGAGAATTGAATTGAAAGACCGGTTACAGATGCTATGAAGACATATGTAGAAATAGAATGGGGAGGACTAATGCCATAGTAGATGAGGTTGACGTAGGGAATGCTGTTTCGATAAGACGATGCCCCTACAGGCTTAATTCTCTCAAAGCAGCGCAGGTTCAGAAGGAAGTGGAAGCGATTATCCAAAAAGACATCATAGAGCTGAGTCAAAGCGCGTGGAGTTCACCAATTGTGTTGGTTCTCAAACCTGATGGTACTCGACGACTCTGCGTGGATTATTGGAAGGTCAACACCTTGACCAAATCTGACTCATATCCAGTTCCAAGGCCGGAGGACTGCATGGAGAAAGTAGGGCAAGACACTTGCATCTCTAAGTTGGACTTAGTTTGTGGTTACTGGCAAGTACCTTTGTCAGACAAAGTGAAAGAAGTTTCTGCTTTTGTAACTCCAAATGGGCTATATCAATTTGAAGTAATGCCCTTTGGAATAAAAAAATGCACCAGCCACTTTTCAAAGACTTGTGAACGGAGTTGTGGCAGGATTGACTAATTGTGCTGTCTACATAGATGACTTAGTGATCTTTAGCCTGATCCTCACCTGTGATCCAGCTATATCATTTCCAAGAACAAGCTGTGTATTCCTGGAATAGCCAATTTTTCTATGACTCCCACTATCATTTACCAGTCTTAATTGGACTTTCTAGCCTTATCTTCCACAGGAGAATGCTAATTCTCTCTCCATTTATTCCACAGATTGTCAGTCTCTCGGGCAATATTTCAGAAGGAGTGCAAATATTTTCATCACTTACTATTAGAGACTGACCAGTTCCTGTATTTCTCAATATTTTAACTTCCTTACCTACTCCCCATGTTCTACCTGAGTAAACCTTTCCCACAGAGGTGATGTCTGATAAGTTTGGGTGCTATCTTACTACTCAGCCCAAGTTGCACTCTCTTGCAGCTCCTCGACTTCTTTTGGGATTTCATTCACTACCTCAACTAATCCCGTTGGTTTAGCCTCTTTTACCACATCCTTTTTTCCTTCTGGATGTGTGTTTTTAAACTCCAGCAGAATAATATCTCTAAGATCCTCATGTCTTTTCTATCTCTAATGCTCTCATCCATCTATCAAAGTTACTATGTTTAATTCTTTCAAACTTGATATAAGTTTGACCTGATTCCTTCCTTATATTTCTGAACCTTTGTCTATATGCATCTGGTACCAGTATGTAGGCCCTCAAAATAGCCTGTTTTACTTTTTCATATTCTTTTGACACCTCATCTGACAGAGCTGCAATCACCTGACAAGCCCTGCCTACCAACTTGGTCTAAATCAACATTACCCACACAGTCTCTGGCAAGTTCATCTGTTTAGCCAATTTCTCAAATGAAATGAAAAAGTCTTCTATGTCTTTTTCATCAAAGTTTGGTAATGGTTGGGCTTATTTGTATATATCCCTACTAGGCTGTTGGCTATGTTGAGTTTGCTCATCATCACTTCTGTCTTGTATTTTTACTTCTGCCACTTGAAGTCTTTTTGCTTCAAGTTCCAACTTCATTTTTTCCAACCCAAACATTCTTTCCCTTTCTTCTCTCTTCCCTTTCTTCTCTCTTCCCTTTCTTCTCTCTTCCCTTTCTTCTTCCTCTCCCTTTTTCCCTTGCTTCTTCCTCTCCCTTTTTCCCTTTTCTTCTTCTCTCTTTCTTCAGCTAGGGCAATTCTTTCCTTTCTTCTTTTTCCTGTGCCAGGAATCTTATTCTCCTTTCTTTGTCCTCTAACTCTCTAATTGTTTAATTTGCAATTTAATTTTTTCTAACTCCACTGTGCTTGACTGTTTCCCTAATATACCTAAATGCTTGGCTAACTCAGTTACAATTTCAGCTTTCTTCTTATCCCTAGTTAAACACACAATTTTAGCCTGTCTGCTAATTCTAAAAGTGTCCCCTTTCTCTGTCTTTCTAAACTTTCTTGGCAAATTCGGGAAGCATCTTCCATGCCCAGAACCTCTTTCACGTTGTTAAGAACTATTTCCCCACTTTTGATTTAGCCAACAACAAACAACTGAAATTTATCAGATTTTCCACGTTGTAGTTAGGTTTCTTTTTAAAGATCTAGGGCTCTAGTCTCCAAGTCTTGAATCTGCTGGGACTTTTCGTATCCCAGATCTGTCCAAATCCATTCAGATCCATTCAAATTCATCCAAATCCCAGACACGAGCCCCCAATCTGTTATAAAGCAGAGGTTGACCCCCCCTCTGAGAACTAAAACTGAAATACCCCAAAAGGAGCGCCTTGCCCCATAATCTGTTAAAAAGGAGTGTGAAAAGTGGTGTAACCTGCCTTTCAGCAACTTCTAGTGGTTAACTAAAATAAATCCCTGACACTCACTTTATAATTGACAAGTAACAGTTTATTTATCTAACTCTGGAACTGAACAAATTAACTACAATATTAACAAATCGAATAGCTCCTACTAACTATTAACTATTCCCTAATAAAACAGGATTCTAATGGTATGCTGTTCCAATAGATGAAAGTCCTGCTTATAAAAATAAAAAAAATAGAGTCTAGTCTTTTGAAATTACAGCCAGGTTATGTGTCTTCAAGAACATTCTGTGCCTTGTCCATCGAATGTTCTGTCAGAAATGCCTTCTCCGTTGATTCTTCTGTTAGGAATATTAACTAGTTGTGTATTCATAACTTTGATTTAGATGGTGCTTTCTTGAAGACTGTGAGAGCCAACGATTCTCTCTTGAGACCAGGGAGCTGTTAACTCTCTGGCAGATGGCAGTTAACCCTTCTGTCTTTGTCCAACTGCCTTCTCCTTTTATACCCTTGATTTAGAGGGATATGAGCCAAATGCTGGCAAATGGGATGAGATTAATTTAGGATATCTGGTCGGCATAGACGAGTTGGACCGATTGGGTCTGTTTCCGTGCTGTATGACTCTGACTCTGTGACTTCCCCGTGTTTCCCATTCCATTACCCAATGAGTGTCTGCTCCAGGATTTTGCTCAGGAAAGTCGCTCCTTATGGGGTGACAAGATGGGAGGTAGGCAGTGGGGGGGCTGAACATATCACCACCGGTATCAGTGGGACTGTAATCCAACAATGGTGAGGAATGTTGGAAAAAGTGCAGAAGCAAAATATCACATTTCTAAGGAAGCTTACAGGTCCTCGGAAATTCCCGGAATATTTTGCAGTCAATTACAGTAAACCCTTTGTAACCACGAAATCACTAATCATGAATTTGCCCATCCATGCCAAAAAAAAGGAAAAACAAAAATCAGCACCTGCGAGCAAAAAGCACGTGTGCATGATATTTTTAACCATTTTAACCTGCTTTTAATGAGCTCCAAACTTGTGAATTTCATCACTTTCAGGGTTTCTCAGGAACAGAACCCTCACGGATATGGAGGAATGACTGTAAATACTTCTACAATGTATTGGCTGGCGAAGGAATTGTGGAGAAATGGGTGTAGGAAAAGTGGTTGCCAATGTGCACACAGCAAGATCCCGCAAGCAACAAGGTGATAATGAGCTGCTTCAAGGGTGTTGGACGAGGAATTAATTATGAGGCAGGCTAATAGCAGGATTTTGCCTCTCCCTCAGTAGAGCTGAGAGTGTTGTGCACTGACCCACAGCTAGAGTGTGAGGGAGGAGCTAGAAAGTGGGGGGAAATAAAAAACACTAATTTACTGTTTGATTCCAAGGTGATCACAGTGTTGTTTTCCTTTGTCAGATAACTCCAGGGAGCAAGGCTGAGGCTGCTAGACTCTGCATTGGTGATGTGATTTTGTCCATTAACGGTGAAAATACTGATGGAATGACTCACCTGGATGCTCAGAGCAAGATCAAGGGATGCGTAGATGAACTCACCTTCCTGATTGCCAGGTACAACTTACACTTTCATCTAGAAAAAGAAAACTGTAAACCACTCCTGAAGGGTCCAGCAGTTTTAGGTTTACAAACTGAGCTGCTGAGCCCTAGGGGTGGCATGGTGTCTCAGTGGTTAGCACTACTGCCTCACAGCACTAGGGACCCGAGTTTGATTCCATCCTCGGGTGACTGTGTGGAGTTTGCACATTCTCCCTGTGTCTGTGTGGGTTTCCTCCGGGGGGAGACCAGAACACTCGCAGGTGAGGTGGATTAGTCCTATGTTGTTAAGACCATCAGATATAAATTTAATTGGTTTTTGGTATTTAAGTGCCTGTTTCTAATTGGCTAAATTCAAAACTTGTTGTCTTAGTGATAAAGCTAAACTGCTGCTCGGTCTGCTAACTGTACGACCTTTCGATACGAATGTTTCAATTCGGGCGCTGTCTGTGTGTACTTGCAAACTTTCAAGCTGCTCACAGGCATTTTTAAATCTCTTAAACATAGAAAAAGCACATCATCTTTTAAAGGGACCATGCACTGCTTTCCCCCTTAACATTTTACAAACACCAAATTCTAACTTCCTACCTCCCAATCCACAAGTACTCTACCCAACTTCGCAACACATCGGACTCTGACATTCACTTAAATGAAAGAAATGGAAATACAATTATGTAATTTTAAATTGGTTAATAAAATACGAAGGTACATAATGAGCTGTGGCTTACAGAAAATGCCAAGTTTGTGGCTCCTTTTGTGGAAAATAAAATTCTGCATTTTGTCCCTTCAAAATTGGCTGTGTTTGCCAAATCACTGAGCGCACAAACCTGCTGATTTTTATTTATTTTGTTTACCACCCTGTGTGGGCACGTTATAACACACCTCTGTGGCAGGTGGACTTTGAACACGGACCTTTTAGCCCAGAGGTAGGAACACGACTGAAAGATCCCCCTTGACTGATTTTTATGCTAATAGAGAAAAGTAACATTCATTACTAACTAACTACTAGCTAAAACACACGAAGAATCCTGTGTTCCTACAACTCTAGGCTCCCAATTGAATACTCTGCTAGCTTCTGCCAGGAGGATTGTTTTTTTGACGATATCCAAGAGTGCACCTATTAACACTAAGGACTTCATCAATTGAATAAGTACAAATCCCTCAAAACCAAGTGATAGCCTCCTTATTTGCTGACTTTAAGGTGATTAGTCTAGTGCGTTATCTGTAGTGGGACCCTCAGCAATGTGCATCTCTGTTTGTTTCTGTCCATAAGGGTTTTGTACTACAGCCCCAGAAGTGGAGGTTGGCTCTGCAGGGGTCCCAGCTTGTCCTGAACTTGTTTAGCAAGGAGCATTCTGGTCGTTTAGAGCCTGCCATTCAATTAATGGGGTTTGTTGCAAACAACTCCTAACTCATGGGAATTGGGATGTCATGTTGTGGTTGTATAGGACATTGGTTAAATCACTTTTGGAATACTTCATTAAATTCCTGTCTCCCTGCCATAGGAAAAGATGTCGTTTAACATGAAAGGGTTCAAAAAAGATTTACAAGGATGTTGATTGGGTTGGAAGGTTTGAGCTGTAGGGAAAGGCTGAAAAGGCTGGGGCTATTTTCCTTGGAGCATCAGAGGCTGAAGGGCTGACCTTATACAAGTTTATAAAATCATGAGGGGCATGGATAGGGTGAATAACCATTGTCTTTGTCTTTTTTCCCAGGGTAGGGGCATCTAAAACTAGAAAATAGAGGTTTATAGAGAGAGGGAAGGATGTAAAAGGGACCTAAAGGGCATTTTTTTTTGTGCAGAGGTGGTGTGTATATGGAATGGGCTTCCAGAGCAAGTGGTGGAGGTGAGTACAATTACAACATGTAAAAGGGTTGCAAGGATTGGGAAGGGGGGATGGTGTGGGATGCTCTTCAGAGGATCAGTTTGGACTCAGTGGGATGAATGGCCTGTTTCCACACTGTAGGGATTCTATGACTTTTTTGTCTGGCTGAATGAAACAAAGCAAAATACTGGAGATCTGAAATAGAAATAAAGAGCTGGAGAAATTCAGCAGATCTGGCAGCATTTGTAGAGAGAGAGAGGCTGAGATAATGTTCTGAGTGTAATCAGCCTTCTTCTTAAAGACTTTGATAAGGAAAACGAATGTACTATCACCAGGTGTGGCCAACATAAAAATAGGTTGGGAGGCAATTAGTGAGGGTGACACACAGAATCTAGAATAATGTGGGAAAATGTGAGGTTATACACTTTGACAGGAAGAATAGAACCCCTACAGTGCAACAGGAGACCATTCAGCAATGCCCCATTTCTGAAGAAGGGTCCCGACCCGAAACGTCAGCCTTCCTGCTCCTCTGATGCTGCCTGGCCTGCTGTGTTCATCCAGCTCCACACTGTGTTATCTCAGACTCCAGCATCGGCAGTTCCTGCTACTTCTGGTGCCAAAACAGTGTTGCTTTGACTGTTTTATTCTTTTTTTTCTTTCCCAGCTGTAGTTGTGTTGTGTCTTGCCCTGTCTTGTCTCTTAGTATATCTGTTTGTATGTTATGGGACTTTTAAGTAAAGGGTAGTGTTTAACTTAGATAGTCATAGACTAACAATTTTCATGGAATCATAGATTCCCGATAGTGTGGAAAGAGGCTGTTTGTCCCATTGAGTCTGACCAACCCTCTGAAGAGCCTCTCAAACTTAGCCCCTGACCCTATCCCTGTAACGTCACATTTACCCTGGCTAATCCCCCTAACCTGCACATTTTTGGGCTTATCTATTTTTTTGCCAGTGGTTAACTGTTGGTTTATCTTTTGTGAATGGCATGAACCTGGTGTATCTATACTTTTATCTTGACTTAGACAGTGAGATAAAATTGGGCAATCTGGTGGTTTTATCAAATACTCACATTTGCAATGACGCCAGGATCAATGGGGCATAACCTCCAGTGCACCAGTTGTGAGGGGCATACGTGGGTTAGACAGGAACAAATGTTTTCCCTGGGTGGAGGGATCAATGACCAGGGGGCATAGGTTTAAGGTGAGGAGCAGGAGGTTTAGAGGGGATGTGAGGAAAAACTTTCTCACCCAGAGGGTGGTGGGAATCTGGAACTCATTGCCTGTAAGGGTTGGTCAAGGTAGAAACCCTCAGAACAAGGAAGAAGTATTTAGATGCACGCTTGCAATGCTAAGACATACAAGGCAATGGGCCAAGGGCTGGAAAATGGAATTCGAATAGTTAAGTGGTTGTTTTGACTGGCAAGGAGGCAATGGGCTGAAGGGCCTTTTCTGTGTTGTAGACCTCTATAACTCTGACTACCCCAGCAAGTCATCACAACAGGTATCTCGGCCAATGTTCTTTCCTCAGTCAACATCTTTTTTAAAAAAAAACTCATCAGCTTGTGGATATTTCCAACATTAAAGGAGTATTTGTGCTTCAGAAATATTTTGTAGTATAATAAGAATGATAAGAGAGTGAGATGGCGATGTACATCATGATATAACAATGCCATTGGCATTCCTGTGTAAGAGATTCTGGAGAAAGGATGGAATAGTCTGTAGTACAGAAAGGTGTGTGCTTTTAGAGGTCAGTATTATGTACAGATATATAAACAAAAGAGTTTGTAGAAACTTGCAGAGTCAGAGAGCACTCACTCATGTGTAAGGACAAATCATTACAGACCATTCAGTATCAGTGCAGATCAGGATAGCCATCTCTCCAACACCATGGCTACACAAACTGTTAGTACAAAGAAAATGGTGGAGGAACTCAGCAGGTCTGGCTGCATCTGGGAGTGAGAAACAGAGTTAATGTTCCAAGTCCAATATTACTCTTCTTCAGAACCTGGGTCTCCTTGTGCATCAGTCACTGAAAGTGAGCATGCAGGTGCTGGTGAAGAAGGCAAATGGTAAGTTGGCCATCATTGCAAGAGGATTCGAGTACCAGAGCAGTGATGTCTTGTTGCAGTTGTACAGGGCCTTTGTGAGACCATACTTGAATGGTGAACCCTTTCCTCCCCCAAAGACTTGTGGATGATCAGTCTCTGAGTACATTCAAGACAGGTCAATAGATCTTTTAGGTGCTATGAGAATTAAGAGATATGGGGATTTTGAAGGAACGTGGAGTTCAGGGAGGACAGCTATACTCTTGTTAAGATTAAATGTTGGTGTAGTCTGAAGGTCCTAATGACCGACTGCAGTTGGACTCACCAGTTGGCATTTGACCTGTTTGACTATGTTACAAATTCACCTTCCTTGAGATCAGTCTGGAATGGGACTTGAAACTGGAACATTCGGCCTCCCAACACAATGTGTTGCAAGACCTCCTATTTCTTGTGTAAAATGCGGTGCAGTTGAGATCGCCGTTCATGTTGTAATTTGAAAGGTAAGGCCAAAAGTCTTGTCACAAGTTGTGACTTAGTAGCAATCTTTGGCTCTTAGTGATTCCAATGTTGCCCTGCCCAGCTGTAAACATAGCCTGCCAGTCAGCTGTTGTTGATCACAGTTACTTTGCTTCTGGAAACGGGTTTGCATTTTATTCGACAGCTTATGCCATCCTCCATCACCCAAAAACACAATGATGGGATCTGATAGTGATTACAGTGACATGGGCTCGGGTAAGATGTGTGGCACAATTGGATTACAATTGCCATGGCGATGCCCGTCTTGACATTGTGAGCAACTCATGCCATCTTTTATACTTTTCCCAAGAGGCGAAGCAAGATTTTCACTAAAATAAACCGAAAATCTGTGGATGCTGGAGATCTGAAACAAAAACAAAGTGCTGGAGAAACTCAGCAGGGCTGACCATGTCTGTGGAGAGAAAAACAGAGTTAACATTTCAGGTCCAGTGACCTCTCAGTTCTGATCACTCTCTACAGACGCTGCCACACCTGCTCAGTTTTTCCAGCACTTTCTGCCTTTGTGCCAGGATTCTCGCTAGGCAACAGCAGTGAGATGCCAGTTGATGAGGTTTAATGTTTGTTAAATGCCTTGTTAATCCTGTTACTTGCCTAATTGACATTCAGCCT